TCATGTCCATATTTTTTTTTATATTTCTAAAAAAGACAAAATTGATTTAACTAATGCGTTAATTGACTTAATATATGAATAGATTTTTTTTTCTTTGAATTCTATTATTTTGAATTGAAAATTAAAATAATAATTTTTTTTCCCCATAAAATTGCAATAATGATTTCCGAAAATCAATTATCGCATTTAAGAGTTTATTAGATTTCAATATATTTTTTTTGCTTTCTTTTCTTTTGTAAATAATTTTCGAGAACAAATTTAATAATTTTTTTAAACTCGTCACTTGCATTCTTATAGAAGACAATGAGATAACTATATATATATATGTATATAGATTTTATATAATTATATAACGACGCAGGGCATTTTGTTTTCTTTTTAAAAATCCTGATATACTAAAAAATTGTTCTGAAAAAGCCTTCTTTTTAAAAAGACAATTTTTTTCTCGTATAAATACTAAGCATTGATTTAATTGATATTATAAGTATATAATATATTATTATTACTATTTTTCTTATTATTTTAATTTTATTATTATTCTTATTCTTATTCATATTTTTCTTATTATTTTTACTATTAATTTTTATTATTATTATTATTTTTATTATTTTTATTATTATTATTATTATTATTATTATTATTATTATTATTATTATTTAATAACATATTTATTAATAACATTATTCGTAATAATATTGTTATTAAAAAATTATTACTAACAATATTATTGATAACAATATTGTTATTAAAAATATTATTACTAATAAAATTGTTAATATAATAATATTGCTATAAATATTTTTATTAATAAATAATATTATTATATTATTATTATAGAAGATGAATGAAAAAATTTTTGTGTCAATATTCGATTAAAAGATGAAAATTTCTCAAGATGTTTATAATATTTATAGATGTAAGGAATTATATACTTAAGTAATATTTCATTATCAGTGGGAAACTTAAAAAGTTTCGCTTAATTTTTTTTTTAAGGAACTTATAAGCCCTATAAATTTTGCCCTGATAAACGTTCTTTATTTATGTCTAAGTTTAATTGTATAGGTATTTTTCATAGCAGGTGAACTTCCATTTTGATTTACAGAGTAATTTTAAATAAATTATTTCTTGTTACATTCTGATAATATTATTAAAACAAAATAGTTGAATAAATTTTAATTCTCTTATTTTGGAAATTAATTTAATTAACAAAATAAATTTTTATTTTATTAATGAAATTATAATTATAAATTTTTGGCTATTTTTTTAAAATAAATTAAATAATAAAATAAGTTGTCATTTTATTATTTTGTTTATAAACTTATGCAGAATTGTTCACATATTACGTAATACAGAAATTTTCGAATATTTTCCTTTAAAAGCTCTGCTAGTGGAACGTTAAACGACAAAAATCATTGAAATCTGACCCGGTCTCCCACTACTGAGCTTGTGACGTAATAAGTGAACGACCCCTTTAAATAAATATATTTCTGTGCCAAATAAGCAAAAAAATTGACAAAAGTGGAAAAAATAATTGAAATTGGATCAATTAGTTAAATAATTTAAAATAAATAATAATAATAAAGAAATTAGTAAATAAAAAAATAAATAATAATAATAATAATTATTATTATTTATTATTATTTAATAATATTAAATAATAATAAATAATTTTCAAAATTGGAAGATACCTGTATATGTTATTATTTTATAATATAATATACTAATATTATCAATATTTTACTTATATAAGTTACACACGTTTTAACGTGGATAAAATATTTTCCGTAAAAACGCATTGAAAAATGTAGAAATGAGTTGCCTTAATTATAATTATTAATTCTATTTATTATATGTATATATAATTTTTTTTTCTTGGACTTTGAAAGAGGGAAAAGTACACTTCTCATCAGATCAAAATCGTATCACTTTTATCGAATTGCAATTTGTATTGATAATAATTAATGGCAACTTGTGGCATATGCCAAAAAGATGAAATTCTTTTTTTTTCTTCAAAATTGAAAGTATAGGCAGTTATAGTCCCGGTCTACAACAATATATAGATATAAATATATATATTGTTTAATCCTACTTTATTTTTTTTGGTTAATAGTTTTCGAGCGTTTATTATACGATATAATAAATATTATAATAGCATTTTATTTTTAAGTCTAAAATTTTTCATTTCTCTATTTTTTTAGTTGACAATTTATATTTTCTTGTGTGTTAACTTGTTTCATTTCAAAGAAGGCTTATTTTATTATCGAAACAAGTTTTTTTGTATTGTTAATTATTAATAATCTTATTTTATAATGTCATTATAATGATATTATTTTATTATTATATTATTATATAATTTTTAACAATATAATAATATTATAATATTATTTCATATTATAAGTATTGCTTTTATTATTTAATAATATGATTATCGATAAATAAACAAATAAATTATTATTTATTTATTAATAAATTATATGTAATAATAAGATTATTATTAATTACCATCGTTATTAATATTACTATTAATTAATTTATCATTTATAATTATCATTGTAATTTTTTAATTTTTAATTGTTAATTAATTATCATTAGAATAAAATTATCTTCATTATTAATAATAATAATAAATATACGCAGTGATATTTTAGTATTTTTTTTCTTGCTATTATATATAGTAGGTGTATATAGTCAAAAGAAAAAATTCATCACAGTAAAAAGAAATATTTTGAAAATCATTCATTTGGTAAATAAGTCTGTTCTATAACTGGTCTTATTCATTAAGTGTCAAGCCTTTAAATCGAGGCCTCATCAAAAAAGCTCTAAAATTACTAATACGACGCAAGGGTCATTTACCCTGCTCTCTACAACCACGAAGATGAAAAATTGTCCACTGTGAATTTCGCATGAGCAAAGGGGTGCAGTCAATAAAAAATTTCGATCAATAAACTCCATAGACAAAAATTTGACTTTGTGTCAAATTATTTATATATATAAATGAATTATAAATTATAAATTTTTTCATTGTTGGAATTTGAGTAATTTTATTTTTGAAGTGATTAATTCATTTAATATTGAAATAATTAATTTATCATTGAACTATTTAACTTATTAGTGAAATAATTAATTTATTATTAAATTAGATAATTTATTATTAAATTAAATAATTTATTTTTGAATTATTTAATTTATTATTATTAATAAATAAATCATGAAATTACACTCAGAAAAAAGTCTTTGTTAATTCAAAAAAATCGATTTCTTATACTCCTTTTGTTTCATTCAAAATGAATGTAGTTTTAAAAAGATTTTTTCATTCAAAGAAAATTTCTTTGATTTAAGCAAATTTTTTTTACTCAAACAATATTTTTGAGTAAAACAAATTTTCTTTGATTGAAACAAATTTTTTTGAGTCAAACAAATTTGTTTAAAATTTGTTTCACTTTAAGTAACTTTTCTTTGACTCAAATAACTTTTCCTTGAGTCAAACAAATTTTCTTCGACTCATGCAAGTATTTTTTATTCCAACCAATTTTTTTTGAATCCAAGAAATTTTTTCTTAAAATTAATAGGAAATTTTATTTTTTATTTAATTTCAAGGAAATTTTTTTTGTAGATTAAATTTTCTTTGAATCAAAGAAATTTTTTTTTGATTCCAAGGAATTGATTTTTATTGATTCTTCAATCAATAAGAAATTTTATCATTCAGATAATAGTCAAAGAAATAATTCTTCATATTTAAGAAAAAAAATTTTTTTTTAATAAATAAATTGCTTATGAATCAAAGAAATTTTTTTGAGTCAAACAAATTTTCTTTGATTCAAACAAAATTTCTTAAAATCCAAGGTATTTGTTTTTTTAAATCAATAAAAAGTTTTATCATTTAGATATAGTCAAAGAATTAATTCTTTAATTTAAGAAAAAAAATTTTTTTTTTTAATAAATTTAATTGCTTTTGAATCAAAGAAATTTTTCTGAGTCAAACAATATTTCTTTAAATCCAAGGTGTAAGGTATTTTTTTAAATTCAAGGAATTCTTTCTTTAAATCAATAAGAAATTTTGTCATTTAGATATAGTCAAAGAATTAATTCTTTAATTTAATAAAAAAAAATTTTTTTTAAGATAAATAAATTGCTTTTGAATTGAAGAAATTGTTTTGAATCAATCAAATTTTCTGAAAATCTTTAATTCTTCAAGTTAATTCATTAATTAGAAGAGGAAATTTCGTTTTGAAACAAATAAATTATTTTTGAATCAAAGAAATTTTTTTGAATCAAATTAATTTTTTTTTTTTTTTTGTTAAATAGAAGAAAAAATTAATTTTCATCGAAGAAACAATTGAAAGCAAATCTTTGAATGAACAAAAAACTCTTTTCTCCATGGATCATTATAAAAAAGTTCTTCAATCAATAAATTTGATACGAACAATTTGACAAAATTTCAATGTTCAAATTGATTAATTTTAATTAATTGAATTAATAAAAATTTTCAATCACAAAATTACAAGAAATCAAATTATTAATCATGAATTTGTTACTGTTTTCCAAAATTTCAATGTTGAACTTGATTAATTCTGCTAAAAAGAATTATAATACAATTTTTGATCATAAAATTATTATTATTTTCAAAAATTTCAATGTTGAAATTAATAAATTCTATAAAAAGAATTAATAAAACTTTAGTCATAAAATTATTATTATTTTCTCAAAATTCAATGTTGAAATTGATTAATTCTATAATTTCTATAAATTAATTAATTAATTAATTAAAATTAATTAATAAATTAATTGAATTATAAAATTAATAGAATATTATTGAATTTGAAAATTGAATTAATAGAAATTTAAATTATAAAATTATATAAAAAATGAAATTATTAATCACGAAATTGTTATTTGAAAAAAAGTTGGAAAAATTCAAATAAAATTTGAAATGTAATTTGAATTTGAAAACAAGTTTCAATTTCAATTGATAAAAACTGATACAAAAAAGTCGATTACACGTTGAAATTTGATTAACTCGAATGAAATTAACAAAAATTTAAGTACAAAATTATTGTGTAATAATCATAATAATTTTTTTTTTTTTTTTTGAAAGAAAAGAAAGTTGTGGTTTTTTTTTACGAAACACATTGAGACGTGATTTTAGGAATAAATTAGTGACGAATGATATAAAATAAATAAATGATGGATGAGAATATTTTGAACCTCGATTATCGATATAATCCAATGGAATCTTGACAAGTACAAGGCATGATGATCTGATGATGTGTGGTGGCGATTTTGGGGACTCTCTGTGTGGGCAGGCCCGAGAGGCCCTTGACATAGGTGTACGTCACTGGACTGCGGAGAATTCGCTTTGGACTTTTCTTCGTGTGCTTCTTCTCAGTTTTTTCGGCGCGTCCCGACAATTTGAGACTCTGCAATGCCTTGCGTAGGGTGGAAGAGGCCGATGGCCTCTGCAGGGAATCGCTGTCGCTGCTGTGAGCGTCAGAGGGACTCTGCGAGTGGAAGGGGGACTCGGCAGAAGGTCGCGACCTACAATCACTGGGACTCCAGGACCTAGAGGATTTGGCCCTGGAGGAACGTTCGTTACTGCAGTTACGCCTGGAGAGCTTCTCTTGGGAGCGTGAGTTCGATGACCGGCCTCGAAGCTGGTCCAAGTAATGATGGGTGCGGGGGAATTTTCCACCCTCATAGAATCGATCACCACTTCCACGTTTTGATAGTCTTTCGGCACTTCCGGTACTACTCCCGCTACTGCAACCACTGTCCGTTGAACATTCATCGTCACGAAATTCTTGTTGTTGTTGCTGCTGCTGATGATGATGATGATTGCTATTATTATTATTATTATTTTGTTGTTGCTGTTGATTATTGGGTGGATCTGTCAACCTTGTTGACTCATCCATCGTCGCACAAAGAATCAAAATTCTTTTTCTCGAAACTTTTATTCTTCTTTTTTGTTTTTGGTTTTGCTTATCGTTTTTCAAAAACAAATCTTTGTTCGAATTTCACTTTTTCGTTAAATTTTTAATGTTTAGCATTTCATTTTTATTTAACGTTTGTTTTAACATTTAATGTCTTTTTTTAAAATTTCATTAAACATTTCTTCAACATTTCGTTTCAAATTTCATTTAGAAAAATGAACTTGAACAATCGAAGAGATTTTCACAAATCTTTGGAGAGAAGTGTTTTTTTTTTCCTTCGAGTTCCTTGTGAAGGGGAACTTTTAAAGGACAGAAAGGATTATTTTCCTTTAAGGGTTCACTGTTCTTTTTGTCAATAGTAACTTTTTTTCACTGTTTCTTTATTGTTTTTATTGAGAGGGAATCATTTGTTAATTGTTTTAGTTTGATTGGACCTCGGCGAATATAAAGTAAGTGAGACGAATGCGCTTTGATTTGGAGCGCATACTGAGCCTGATGGGGTGGTTACGCATCCTTTTATATCTTCAGCGATGCAGTTGGTTGCGCATGAGTCGAATGCAGGTGAGGGTGGTCTTAAACATTTTATTGCATTAACACAAAAGCAAACATTTTGTATGTTGTTTTTCTCTTTTCTTTGACAATTTTTGACATATTAACTTTAAATTGCATTAGAATCAATAATTTTCTCTTTGATCTTCAAAAAGGCATTCTTCTTCTTTGGAGTTTCTAGAAATAAATGTCAAAAGCAATTAATTTTCCGATTTTTTGGCAATTTTTTATTCTTTTTTTTCGAAATTTTTATTTACAATTTTTTTAATTGTCCCTTCTTTGAACTTTTGAACAAAAAAAAAAAATTTTTTTTTGCATTTTTTAAAAAACAAGTAAAAATATTCTCGAGATTCATCATCTTCGGATTTGAAGCAATTTTAAAAATCAATTTCGAAAGAAATTAAATTTTTTTACAGTTTCACATACTTTTTTGTCCTTTTTTAAAAAACTTTTATTTACAATTTTTTTAACATTTCTTTTTTTGAACTTTAAAACAAAAAAATAAAAAATATTCAAAATTCATCATCTCCGGAGTTTTAAAGCAAATTTTTTAATTTATCTCAAAAGAAATTGCTTTTACAACTTTTTTGCATTTTTTTTTTAGAAATTTTATTTGTAATTTTTTTAACATTTCTTTTTTTGAACTTTAGAACAAAAAATTAAAAAATATTCAAAATTCATCATCTCCGGAGTTTTAAAGCAAATTTTTAAATTTATCTCAAAAGAAATTGCTTTTACAACTATTTTGCATTTTTTTTTAGAAATTTTATTTGTAATTTTTTCAACATTTCTTTTTTTGAACTTTAGAACAAAAAATTAAAAAATATTAAAAATTCATCATCTCTGGAGTTTAAAGCAAAATTTAAAATTAATCTCAAAAGAAATTAATTTTACAACTTTTTAGTATTTTTTTGTCGCCTGGTTAGAAACTTTTTTTTCTAATTTTCTAATATTGTTTTTTAACTTTAAAACAAAAAATTCAAAAATATTCAAAATTCATCATGTCAGGAGTTTTGAAGCAAATTTAAAAAATTAATCTTAAGAGAAATTACTTTTACAACTTTTTAGCATTTTTTTGTCGTTTTTTTTAGAAATTTTATTTGTAACTTTTTTAACATTTCTTTTTTGAATTTTAAAATAACAAAAAATTCAAAAATATTTGAGATTCATCATCTTTGGATTTGAAGCAATTCTAAAAATTAATCTCATAAGAAATTAATTTTACAACTTTTTAGTATTTTTTTACCTTTTTTTAGAAACTTGTCTTTGTAATTTTCTAACATTTTTTTTTTTTTGAACTTTAAAACAAAAAATTCAAAAATATTCAAAATTCATTATCACCAAAGTTTGCAGCAAATTTTAAAGTCAATCTCAAAAAAAATTAATTTTACAACTTTTTAGTACTTTTTGTCCTTTTTTGAGAAACTTTTATTTACAATTTTTTTATCATTTCTTTTTTTGAACTTTAGAACAAAAAATTAAAAAATATTCAAAATTCACCATCTCTGGAGTTTAAAGCAAATTTTAAAATTAATCTCAAAAGATATTAATTTTACAACTTTTTAGTATTTTTTTAAAACTTTTTTTAGAAACTTTTTTTTCGTATTTTTCTAACATTTCTTTTTTTGAACTTTAAAACAAAAAATTCAAAAATATTCAAAATTCATCATCTCAGGAGTTTTGAAGCAAATTTTAAAATTAATCTGAAAAGAAATTAATTTTATAACTTTTTAGTATTTTTTTGCCCTTTTTTTAAAAACTTTTTTTTAACTTTTCTTTTTTTGAAGTTTAGAACAAAAAATTCAAAAATATTTAAAATTCATCATCTCCGAAGTTTTAAAGCAAATTTTAAAATTTATCTCAAGAGAAATTACTTTTACAATTTTTTAGCATTTTTTTGTCGTTTTTCTTTGAAATTTTATTTGTAACTTTTTTAACATTTCTTTTTTTGAATTTTAAAATAACAAAAAATTTAAAAATATTTGAGATTCATCATCTTTGGATTTGAAGCAATTCTAAAAATTAATCTCAAAAGAAATTAATTTTACAACTTTTTAGTATTTTTTTAAAACTTTTTTTAGAAACTTTTTTTTGTATTTTTCTAACATTTCTTTTTTTGAACTTTAAATAAAAAAAAAATAAAAAATATTCAAAATTCATTATCTCCGGAGTTTTTAAGCAAATTTTAAAATTAATCTCATAAGAAATTAATTTTACAACTTTTTAGTATTTTTTTACCTTTTTTTAGAAACTTTTCTTTGTAATTTTTTAACATTTCTTTTTTTTGTGCTTTAAAACAAAAAATTCAAAAATATTCAAAATTCATCATCTCCGGAGTTTGAAGCAAATTTAAAAATCAATCTCAAAAGAAATGAATTTTACAACTGTTTAGCATTTTTTTGTCCTTTCTTTAGAAACTTTTATTGACAATTTTTTTAAAAGTCCTTTTTTTGAACAACTGACATTTGATTGGAAAAGAAAAAAATTAAATTTTACTAGGATAAGAACATTTTTTTGAGTAGCTAAAAAGTTGGTAACATTACCGAAGCTAAAATTTTTATTTATAGGAATTAATAAAATTTTAACTAATTTAAATTATTTAAATTATTTAAATTTTTTTCCATAAAATTTTGCTTCGAAAAAAGTTAAAATTACTTTTTCCTGGATAAAAATCTTTAAACAATTTTATAAATTAAAAAAAACCTAAAAAAATTATTTTTTTATCAATTGATCCCCACTCACATATAAAAAAAATTAGTTTTTTAGGTTTTTTTTTAATTTCTAAAATTGTCCAAAGATTTTTAGCAAGAAAAAAAGTAATTTTAACTTTTTTCGAAGCAAAATTTAAGAAAAAATGTTTAAATAATGTAATTTAGTTAAAATTTAATTAATTTCTATTTTGAAAGTAAATTAATGTTTTTTCGTTTAATTTAATTTAATCTTCGTTTAATTCTCCCTTAATTGTATAAAATAAATTGCACAATTATAATTAATTATTATTTCCAAAGTGAAAAAAATGTATGTAATTCAAATAAATGATTATTTGTCTAATATCTCATAAATATTTTTATTTTATAAAATAATTTTTATTTAGAACAAATAAATTTTATTTGAACCATTTAATTGATCTAAATAAAAATTATTGATATAAATATTTATTTGATAATAAATACAGATAATCGTTTATTTAAATGAAATAAATTTTGTTTATTGTAAAAATTCGATACTAATTTTAATCATTAAACTAACTAAATTTTACTAATTACTTTCTAAATTTGAATTAGTAAAAATTTTTAATAACTTTGACTAATAAATAGATATTTCTACTAATTCAAATTTCTACTAAATTATTAGTAAAATTTACTAATATATTAGTGAAAATTTGAATTAGTAAATTTTACTAATAAATCTGTTGTAAATTACTTTTTATTAGTAAAATATACTAATTTAATGGCAAAAAGTCAGTCACACGTTCAAAATTAATCATTATATAAATTTAGAGGAATACGGTAAAATGTATACGTTATAGATTTTACCTTTTTTTTGGACATGTGCGCGAGTCCAAAAAATGAAAAGTAAGCAAAAATTATTTTCACGTGTTAAAAAACGCATGCTCGGAAAACTTATAAAACATTTTGACTTTACGCTGATATTAGAAGAAAAGGAAGTTTTCTATTTTAAAATTTTCCTCAGTATGAAAAAAGTAATTTATTTATAAGGTTTCTACATAGTTTTTTCTATATTTAATATTAGCAAGCGTCTTTTATCTTTTGCGCACATAAAAGGAAATTTCCGGTATATAAGTGACATTTAAATGAATATTAAATTCTTATAGTGATATTTAAATTAATATTAAAATCTATATTTATGTGTACAGTGACATTTAGGTAAATACAAAATTTTATTTTTAAGTGAATATTAAATTTAAATTAAAAAAAACATGAAAATTAAAATTAAAAATTTTTTTTAATTTATATAAAGTAAAATTTAAATAAACATTAAATTTTCTCTATATTTCTGCCGTTAAAAATAATAATTGAATTTTGTTTAAAAATAAATTTGTTACAAAAATAGGTTTTGTGGTTTAAAAAAAAAAAAAATTTTATCGATACCCTGCAATCTATGACGTACACATCTTTGACTGAGGTGGTGTAGGTCGCTGACCTCAGCGATCAATGTAACAGTTGCAGTGAGATCGGATGCTGAATTCTGACGAATAAATTCACTCGAAATAGATCAATATAATTTTATTATTCCTGTCCTAGATTTTATTTTCCAATTTTACGAGAATCATATTTGATATTTTCTAAATTTAAGACTATTTTTTTTATTGGCAATCACATTAAGGGTGGGTCCAAATTTAAAGTATATATTTGTCACACACCTTTATGTACTCTCCGCCCTTAATTCGCAGGATAAATTTCTTTATAACTTTTTTTAATTCTCTTCATTCTTTTTACTAGGGGAATGTAGTCAAGGTTGGCCTACTGTCTAGGTAGGCCACTCGCGTTTTTTTGTCAAGTTCACTAGCGCCACCTACGCGCATTTTTGTCGAAGCTTGTCTTAGTGAAACCTAACTTTTTGTTCAATTACATTTTCGGAAAATCGAAAATTGTGTTTTCTGTGACGTCGGTACAAAAAAAGCTCAAAAAAAGTTTTGTGCATAATGTGAAAAACCATTAATAAAAGATAAAAAACAAATTGAATCATCAAGGCAAGTATGCAGAAAATTTGTGGGACTCATGGTTGAAAGGAAAACAAAGTAAAAAATCGAATCCCGAAACGTATTTCTTTATGGTTACAACAATTCGGTAATGTTACTTACTGTCAAGGTCGGCCACTATGTGTTTAAAATGCGCAAAGTTGAGGACGAGCTACTTCATTTGCAAAAACTGCAATTCTGTATAACTCATAATATAATTGATCATCTTATTAATATTTTTATTTAATTTTATTAATATTTTAGTGCAAAACTTTTTTTTATTTATATTTATTTTTTTATATTGTTTATTGTTATTATTTTGTTATTTCATTAAGTTACAAACTGTAAACAATAAAGAATCAATTTTCCGTAACTCCAAACATGTTATTTTAGTTTTTAACGATTAATGCCCTTTGAATTTTAAACATGGCCGACCTTGACTGTAATGGCCAACCTGGACTACAAATTTTTTTTTTTTTAAATCTTTATAACTTTTTCATTTTTAAACCTGTCAATTTACTTTGTACAGAAAAAATGTTCCTATTAAACAGGACTTTCCAACCATATACTTCAATTGTCCAAATTCATTTTAAAAAAAAAGTTATAAACAAAAGTCAAAAAGGTGGCCGACCTAGACTATGTTCCCCTACATTTAAGCCATAAATTGATTAATTTGGAAATTTAATTTAATTTAGAAAATTGTTTTGTTAACCTATTTAATATTTATTAAATTTATTTACTATTTTCATTATTTATTTACTTATTTATTATAAAATTATTTTTTAAAACTGTTTTATTTATTTATTAAGTGTTATTTTTTTATTATTCAGGGCGTTGGGGATCGAACCACTGACCTTAAGTATCACTTACTGATTCACGTGCTTAAATGACTATGACCATTGACAATTATTAATTTGTTTAAATAAATAAATACTATTTATAGTATATTTCTGTTAATTTTTGTAAATAAGTACTATTTATTTACCATCGACAATTGTATATTTATTTATATAAATAGATTAATAATTAGAGATAGTAACATAAATGATAACATTCACTTATTATTTATTTATTATTTTTATTATTTATTACTCATTATTTATTACAAAATTATTTTATTTATTTATTATTTATTTAATAAATTTATTTACTTATTAATTGTTATTTGTTTATGATCTCTGGTCGTTGGGGATCGAACCACAGACCCTAAGTTCCACTCACTGATTCAGGCGCCTTAACGACTATGACCATCACCAATTATCAATTAATTAATTAATTATATTCTATTTACTATTTATTTATTTATTTATTTATTAATTATTTATTAAATTTATTACAATATTGTTTGCAATAATTGTTTGCAATAATTGTTTACAAAAATTGTTTACAAAACTTGTTTACAAAAATTGTTTACAAAAATTGTTTACAAAAATTAATTACCAAAAATTATTCGCAAAAATTGTTTACCAAAAATGTCTAATTTGAAAAAAAATACCACTTTTTTTTAAATAAAAATAAAATTTTCTGCTCTTTAAAAATTTTAAGTATTCTTTGTGGGAGGATAAAGTTGGAAGTTGTTGAAAAAGAAATTTTCCTCTCAATATAAGTTTTCTTTTGACCATAAAGGAGAGAGATTTATTTTCTTCTTCTTTCTTCTTTAGTATTTATTTATTTTTCTATTATGAAAATTTCTTTTAATAAATCAAGAAAATATAATGAAGGAATTTTTTTTTTTCTTTAATTTAAAGTTCCCTGAGACCTCATAGTGAGTAAATTGAAGATGTACCTTGATTGCGAATAGAAATTTCAGGTATTATGTATTTCTAATGAAGAACAAGAATAAGTATATATGTAGACAAATTACTTTAACGAGAAATAAATTAAATTTTTCCTCCAGTTAAAATTTTACTGACAGAAAAATGAGAGATGAAAATTTTATTTTGAAAAATTAGTTTATAATTTTTAAAGTCAATTATTGTATTATAATTTTATAATTTAATAACAAAAATGTATTAATTTATTAATTTATTAATTTTAATATTTTAATAATTTTATTTATTAAAATTAAAATTTTAATAATCTAAATTTAATTCGTGAATAAATTATTGAAAAAGTTTTTTGAGAAAATTGATTATTGTCTATATAGAATTCATACTAATTAGTTGAGAATTATTGAATACAGGGGGTTATATTGTATATAGACATTTTATTATTGTGTATCATCTCTGTGTGCGAAAGAAGATTCTCGAATCATTAAATTAATAAAACAATGAGAATTATCGGAGCGCAATGGTTTCAATTCCCTCCTTGTATGGTGTGTATATGAAATGTATGTGCAATTACATAACAAAAGCTTGGCATTTTTATATGCTGTATATTATACAATCGGTTATGACATTCGTTAACAAAATCATAATTGCATCATTTTCATTTTTACGTAAAAAAAAAATTAGTAAATAAAATTAATTAATAATAATCATAATTGAAAAATTACATTTCTAGGTACTTATTATAATAATATGTAAAATTTTTTTTAATTTTTAAAAAAATAATTTAATTTTTATAATTTTGTTCATATATTTCTTATTTCTTTATTAACAATTTGTATATCTTATAAAGTAGAATTGTAATTTTTAATTATAATAAATAAATAATTATTATTAATTAATTTTTTATTCGCACTTCTTTTTATCGGTAAAAATGCATAATTGCATTTTCATTGTTACGTGTAAAAAAAGGATCAATAAAATTAAATAATAATAATTGTAATTAAACAATTGACATCCTACTTTAACTTTATAATATAATTAAAAGTAAAATTAATAGTAAAATAATTAATCTAAATTAAAAGTAATTTAAAAATAAAAGTAATATAAAAATTAAAAATTAAAATTGAAAGTAACATTTAAAAAGTAAAAATTAAAAGTTCTTTAAAAAATTAATAAAAATGTTTACAAATTTAAATTGTGTTTTAAAAATATCTGCATATAAATAAATAAACTGTTTAAACTTTTATATATTTTTTTCTACAAAACAATTTGTTATAAAAAAATTTTGAAACTTTTTTAAATGTAAACAAACATTTTGATTCATAAAGATAAAAATAGAGGTAAATGAGGTTTAAAATTAGGAGGGAGAAAATTAATAGTAAATATGTAGTGGAGTATAAATTCATATATGTTGTATAAAATGAAAGATTGTAATTTGAAAATGTTGAGGGATATAATAAGGGTAAATGGTTAAAGAGGGTTTGTTAGATAACGTTGTCTTCTTACAGGCCACTTATTTTTCTTTCAAAAGGCATCGGAAACAAAGCCAACAATTTACGCTCCATCACGATGGGACTTCAGGGTCGAGCGACGAACTTGATGATATAAAAATTAAAAATACTAATTTATTATATAAAATCGAAAATCAGTGAAAATTACTTTTGATTAAAAAAAATCTATTTAAATCACTTGTTTCAAATAATAATTTTATTTAGTAAAAATAAAATATTTATTTGAACCAAATAATTATTTAGGAAGCAAATTATTTATTTGAACCGAATTATTTATTTGAACCAAATAATTATTTAGGAAGCAAATTATTTATTTCAACCAAATAATTATTTTGAAACCAAATTATTTATTTGAACCAAATAATTATTTAGGAACCAAATACAATTTATTTGAACCAAATAATTATTTTGGAACCAAATTATTTATTTGTTTCAAATAAATTGTATTTAGTTCAAATAGAAATATTACTTGAAATAAATAAATAATTTAATAGTAGACATTGTGACAGATAATTATACTTTTATTTGACTCAAATAAATTATATTTGGTTTAAATAAAATATTTCTCTGGGTGCACAATATAATAATGTACACCCAGAAAGTTTTAGTTTTCAAATACACCCAGAAAAAAGTTTTTCGTTGATTTAAAAAAATCATTTGCTTTGAATTTTTTCTTTCATTGAAAATTAATATTTCTTTGATTTAAAAAATATTTCTTTAATTAAAAATTAATATTTCTTCGATTCAAAAAATATTTCTTTGATTAAAAAACATTTCTTTGATTCAAAAAACATTTTTTTAACTCAAAAAATAATTTATTTGTTTCAAAGAAATTTTTGTTGGATTTTTGAAGTTTTTACTAATTTAAAGAAATCATTTGCTTTGACTTTTTTCTTTGATTAAACATTAATTTTTCTTCAATTTCAAAGAAAATTTCTTTGCTTCAAAAAATATTTCTTTTATTAAAAAACATTTCTTTGATTCAAAAAACATTTCTTTACTCAAAAAATAATTTATTTGTTTCACAGAAATTTCTGTTACATTTTTGAAGTTTTTACTGATTTAAAGAAATCATTTGCTTTGACTTTTTTCTTTGATTGAAAATGAGTTTTTCTTTAATTTAAAGAAAATTTCTTTGCTTCAAAAAATATTTCTTTGGTTAAAAAACGTTTCTTTGATAAAAAAAACATTTCTTTAATTCAAAAATTATTCATTTGTTTCAAAAATAAATTTTTCTATTTAAATTGTAGATTCTTCGACTCAATAAATATAATTTCTTTGATTTAAAGAACAAATTTTCTTGGATTCAAAGAAAATTTATTGAAATTAAAATAAATTTCTTTGAATAAAAGAAAATTTACTTAAATCAAAGAAATTTTCTTTGAATAAAAAATTCAAAATAAATATCTAAAATAAATAAAAATAAAATAAATAAATAAAAAATAAGTGAAAGTAATATAAAAATGTAAATAACAATAAAGGATATAAATAATGGTCCATTTTCAGTTTCTAAGCAATTTTATTGTTTCAGGATTTCTTCTTCTTTTCTTTACAAAACTTTTAAATTTAGTGATGATTTATGAAGAGAAAAAAAATGTGGATTACGAATAAATTGCAGGAATTCTATATAATGATAATTTGAGCGAAAATGAAAAATTAATGAAGGCGATGATAAATCGTGTGATGAATGATGCGTGCGTCGAAATTGTTTAACCAAAAACTTTTTACCACTTTTATAGAATGTAAGTTGGTTGTTTGTAAATTGGGGCCACACCGGAATAAGAGGGAATCAATGGTTGATAAGAATACGGCAGTGGACCAATTCCAACATAAGGACTGTATGGATTGTAAGCGTTATACAATAACGGTTGAGCCAAAAATCCTGGATCCGGCTTTGGTGCTGGTGCAGGGATTGCTGCAGCAAATGCCAAAATGGCGGCGAGAATGCACTGAAAAATTTATAGGAAAAAAGATCTATTAATAAAATTTTCTTTTTTTTTTATTATATCATTATCTCACTATTACTTTAATTATTTTGCTTTTTTTTAAATTTAATACGGAAAAAGAGGAGAAAACTCAAGGAAAAAAAAATTTACCTGAAACTGCTAAATATTTTTAAAAATTAACGAAACTTTTAGTTGTTTTCAGTAAAACTTTCGCTATTCTAGAGAAAGTTATCGCTGTTCCAAGTAAATATTCTTTTCCGTGTAATTATTTTTTGCTTTATTATATTTATTTTTCACCAAAATTGTATACATTGAAAAAAAATGTATTTGATTTAAATAACGGATTAATTAAATACTATTATCAATTAAATATTTAATTGAATCAAATAATATTTATTCGAGTCAATTAAATGGTATTTGCTTCAAATACTGAAATTATTTGTTCAAATACCATTTAATTGACTCCTATAAATATTATTTGATTCAAGTAAATATTTAATTGATTATAATAGTCAATTAATCGGTTATTTGAATCAAATAAATTTTTTTTCAGTGTATAAATAAATAAATAATAAGCAAACTTAAATACAATACTGAATAAGAAATTAAATTTTTCACTCTTTTGTTACTATCAAAGAACTAGAAAATTTAATTTTTTAAAACACTTTTCACTCACGTTTCACTTTTTTATAACTTATATCCTGTAATTATTATTATTATTATTGATTATTAATTATTATTAATTATTAATAATTATTATTAATTATTATTAATTATTATTAATTATTATTATTATTATTGATTATTAATTATTACCTATTATTAATTATTAATTATTATTAATTATTATTAATTATTATTAATTATTAATAATTATTATTAATTATTATTAATTATTATTAATTATTATTAATTATTATTAATTATTATTATTATTATTATTATTATTATTAATTATTATTAAAATTGTTATTAAAAGTTTAAACTACTTTAAAACTATTTAATTTATCAATGTTGAAAAATTTTTTATCTTGCTGCAATTTTTAATTAATGTTTTTAAATTTTATTTTGTATTTTTTTCTACTCTTTGGCAGTTTATTTAAATTGTCACTCATTATTAAAATGTAATTTATCAATTAAAGTAGAAACATGGTTATCAATTTAATAGTTAGAATTCTACTAATTTTATATAAACAAAGCAATTAATTATTAATAAAAAAAAAATGACTAAATTTTAGTAGAATTCACAAATTTTTAGTAAAAGATACAAAATTTTTAGTAGGCTAGAAACTATCAACTTTTAGAATAAGTATTAATTTTTCGTAGAAACTACTATAACTTTTAGTAATCTTTTAATTTTAAATAGTAGTTTTTTTTACTAATTATTACAAATTTTCAGACTAAAAAACATTTTTCAGAATAAGTACTAATTTTCAAAATAAGCACTAATTTTTCGTGGACACTATTACGTTTTAGTAATTTCAAAATTTGAAATAGTAGTTTTTTACTAATAAAATTTTGACTGATTTTTAGTAAAAAAAAAACTATTAATTGCTAGTAGAGAAGTGCTAATACATTAATCAGATGTATTTTTTACTATTCCAAATTGGTAAGCTAAGTTACAAAATGGATTAGTAGTTTTCTCCTAGCAATTAGTAGTCAACTACTAAAAATTAGTCCAAACTATTAATAATTCAAATAATAATTAACAAAACTACTATTTGATTAGTAAAAAACTATAATTTAATATTTAGAGAGTACTATAAGTTAGTAGGTTCTACGAAAAATTAATACTTTTTACTAAAAACTAGTAGTTTCTACTAAATACTTATAATTTCCACTAAATATTAGTGTTTTTTTTAAATTATTCAGTGGATTTACTAAAGATTTGTAGTCTCTACAAAAAAAGTAGTTTTTTATCAATAATTATTAGTTTTTACTAAAAATTAGTAACTTTTACTAAACATTAGCAGTTTATATAAAAAATTAATATTTTTAATGGAAAATAAATAGTTTCTACTAAAAATTTGAATCTTCTACTGAACATTTGTAGTTTTTATAAAAAATTATTAGTTTTCAATTAATAATTAGTAGCTTTTACCAAACATTAGCAGTTTATGCTAAAAATCAATAGTTTTAATTGAAAATGAGTACTTTCTACAAAAAATTTGAATCTTTTACTAAACATTTGTAGTTTCTCCAAAAATTAGTAGTTTTCTATTAATAATTACTAGTTTTTACTAAAAATTTAGTAGTTTTTAGAAAACATCAGTTTATGTTAAAAATTAATAGTTTCTACTAAAAATTTAAAGCTTTTACTAAATATTTGTAGTTTCTACAAAAAATTACTAGTTTCCTATTAATTATTAGTCGTTTTTACAAAACATTAGCAGTTTATGTGAAAAATTAACAGTTTTAATTGAAAATGAGTAGTTTCTACTAAAAATTTGAATTTTTTACTAAATTAATAATAATAATAATAATAATAATAATAATAATAATAATAATAATAATAATAATAATAATAATAATAATAATAATAATAATAATAATTTTTTACATTTGTAGTTTTCTATTAATAATTACTAGTTTTTACTAAAAATTAGTAGCTTATTCTAAAAAACATTATCAGTTTATATTAAAAATTAATAGTTTTTTGAAAATTAATAGTTTCTACTGCAAATTTGACGATTCTACTAAATATTTATAGTTTCTACAAAAAATTACTAGTTTCCTATTAATAATTAGTTGCTTTTACCAAACATTAATAGTTTATGTTAAAAATTAAGTTTTAATTGGAAATGAGTAGTTTCTACTAAAACTTTGTAGTTTTAACAAAAAAATTAGTAATTTGCTATCAATAATTAGTAATTTTTTTAAATTAGTAGCTTTTACTAAATATTAGCAGTTTCTATTAAAAATTATTAGTTTTAACTGAAATTCAGTAAATTCTAATAAAAATGAGTAGTTTCAATAAAATATTAGTAGTTTTTTTTAATAATTAGTAGTTTTCTATTAATAATTAGTAGTTTTCCATGAATAATTAGCAGTTTTGTAATTAATACTATTTTAGAATGAAATTGATAACCAAATTCACTTTAGGCAATTAATAAAAAATGACTAATTCAGATTTAGAGGGTATTAATGATTAATATAATGATAATAATAATAATAATTAATGTTGTACTTTTGAATTGAATTGAAAATGCAAATTGCAAAGTGGTACTTACCAACTTGAACATAGTGAGTTACTACTTTAGAATAAACCTACTGAGGTTCTAGAAACGGCCCTTATATACCAGAACCAGATCCTGCAATGGGTTGGTGCTTTTTTGCCTGTCCCTTCCAGATCGCATGTTCCTCGGGTTGGGTTGGAGAAGGGTGAAACTTGATTATAGAAGAAAGGATTGACTTGAGTGCATCAACCACTAGAAAAATGTTAAATGATGCTCAAGGTTCTTTCCATTAGGCGTGGCAACTGCAACTTTCCTTGTTTACCAAATTTTACACTTTGTTGATATCAACATTTTTCTTGCACTCATTTATTTCTATACTTTTTCTGTCTTTTAATCAATTTATATATGCTTATCTATCTATCTATCTATCTAGAAAATATTTATTCATCTACTCTCTAAATTTAATGGGAATTAAATTTTAAGGGAAAATGTCTACTAATTTCAGTTAGTGACTGATTTTTTGCTTTTGAATTAGTAAATTTTTGTACTAATTTATTGGTAAAATTTACTAGTGAAATTTTCTACTAATTTATTAGTAAAATTTACTAGTGAAATTTTCTACTAATTTATTAGTAAAATTTTCTACTAATCTATTAGTGAAATTTTCTACTAATTTATTAGTGAAATTTACTAGTGGAATTTTCTACTAATTTATTAGTAAAATTTACTAGTGAAATTTTCTATTAATTTATTAGTTAAATTTACTAGTAGAATTTTCTACTAATTTATTAGTAAAATTTACTAGTGAAATTTTCTACTAATTTATTAGTTAAATTTACTAGTAGAATTTTCCACTAATTTATTAGTGAAATTTTCTACTAATTTATTAGTAAAATTTACTAGTGAAATTTTCTACTAATTTATTAGTTAAATTTACTAGTAGAATTTTCTACTAATTTATTAGTGAAATTTACTAGTAGAATTTTCTACTAATTTATTAGTGAAATTTACTAGTAGAATTTTCTACTAATTTATTAGTGAAATTTTTTTACTAATTTATTAGTAAAATTTACTAGTGAAATTTTCTACTAATTTATTAGTTAAATTTACTAGTAGAATTTTCTACTAATTTATTAGTAGAATTTTCTACTAATCTATTAGCGAAATTTTCTACTAATTTATTAGTGAAATTTACCAGTGGAATTTTCTACTAATTTATTAGTAAAATTTACTAGTGAAATTTTCTATTAATTTATTAGTAGAATTTTCTACTAATTTCTTTAGTAAAATTTACTAGTGAAATTTTCTACTAATTTATTAGTTAAATTTACTAGTAGAATTTTCTACTAATTTAGTAGTGAAATTTACTAGTAGAATTTTCTACTAATTTATTAGTGAAATTTTCTACTAATTTATTAGTAAAATTTACTAGTGAAATTTTCTACTAATTTATTAGTAAAATTTACTAGTGAAATTTTCTACTAATTTATTAGTTAAATTTACTAGTAGAATTTTCTACTAATTTATTAGTTAAATTTACTAGTAGAATTTTCTACTAATTTATTAGTGAAATTTTCTACTAATTTATTAGTAAAATTTACTAGCGAAATTTTCTACTAATTTATTAGTTAAATTTACTATTGGAATTTTCTACTAATTTATTAATGAAATTTTCTACTAATTTATTAGTAAAATTTACTAGTGAAATTTTCTACTAATTTATTAGTAAAATTTACTAGTGGAATTTTCTACTAATTTATTAGTGAAACTTATCAGTGAATTTTTTTACTAATTTATCAAGAAAACTTACTAGTGAAATTTCTGAACAATTTATTAGGAACATTTACTAGTAAAATTTTCCACTAATTTATTAGAAAAATTTATTATTTCAAAAGCAAAATTTGAGTACCTTTATTAAAATTCTGTCTTAAACTCTCAAAATTAAAATTAGTAAAAATGTTTACCAAATTGAATTAAACTTTTTGCTTTTGAATTACTAAATTTTACTAATAAATATAGTCATTTTTACTCATTTTTAAATTTTAATTTCATTCAATTTTTAAATTTTACCAATTTATTAGTAAAATCCCACGTCGGAAAATTCCATGGAATTTCCGTGAAGTTTCCATGGAAATTCTGCAAGTTTTTTATTTTAAAAATATTTGAACATTTCCAGGGTTGCCACAGGTCAGGGAAAAGTCACGAATTTTTATTAAAGAACTGAAAAAAATTGAATTTAGAAGCAGTTACAAATAATGAATAATGAATTTCATTGTTTGTGAAATGTAATTGAATTCTTGAAAACAAATTTTTGAAAATAATTACATTTTTCGAGGAATTCATTTAAAATTATATGTCAAATACCAATTTTAAAATTATATTAAAAATAATTGAAAGCCTATGAAAAATGTTATTATTTATGAAAATAATTGAATTCTTACAACGAATTTTATTACCTACATTTTTTTAAATAATTGAATTCAAGTGAAAAATTTTATTACTTGTAAAAAATTAAAAATAATTGTATTCTTGGAACGCATTTTATTACTTTTTTTCAAATAATTTAATTTTTTTTTTTTTGAAAAATTTTATAGAAATTTAAATTATTATTGAACATAAATATATCAATCATTCCGAGTCTTCGACTCAGAATGATTGATATTTTCATGTTTTTTTTTATTTATAGATTTTTCTTTAATTTTTAAAATTAGAATTATTTTTATAAATAGAATTTTTTTCTTCGCCTACAGAATATATTTTAGATCTTTTTTTCATAATTTCATAATTCCTAATACAATATAAAGAAAGTTTCTTGTATTCTTAATGCTTTCTTAATATATTCCTGGTGAAGAGAAAATACAAATATTACCTAATAATATCAATATTAGGTCAATCATTTTTAGAAAAAATGACATAGAAAAAGAAAAGGATTTTAAACTTAGAACTAAATTATTTTTTCATGCATTACATTTTTTATTCTTACAATTAAAATAGAATATTAATAAAAAAAAGTAAAATTCTTTTAAATTGACAAAATTTTTTATTATTTTTGTATTGAAAAAAATAAAATGAAATTATAATACTCAAATTCTAACAAATGAAATTAGAATATTTCAGATTTTGACCAGATTTTAAATTTATTTTTTTTTTAGTTTTTCTAGTTTAATTTAAAATAACTATATATTTGCAAAAAATATTTATATGCTATATGTAATAAAAGAAAATACATCACAGAAAAAAAATTCTTCACCTAGAGTAGTTTTAATTGTTTCTAGAATTGCAAAGAAATTAATTGAAATTCATTAAAAATTTCGCTAATATAATGAAATTTTTATCTGTTTCAGGTAAATATTTTTTTTCGTGCTTTTTTGTAAATTAATATTAATAACAATTATTATTGATTTTATTTTTATTATTTATTGATTTCAAAGTAAATGGGACTTGACCTATAATTATTGTTATTGATACTATTATATATTATTATAAACCCAAAATTTAAAATTTTCTATTCATCGGTCTATAAAATATGAAAATAAAATTATTAAATTAAAATTAAAATTATTAAATTAAAATTTTGATGTAATGAAATAAATATAAGACAATAGGCCACAAGAACAAAAAAATCTTTAATCTTTTTTTTATGGCTTAAAATAAAAGGAGTATACACTCCGTATAATAAATTATTAAATTTTATTATTTAGTTAATAGTTAATATTTTATTAATAATAAATATATAAATATATAAATAAAAATATTAGGTATATTAATAGTATAGTTTATATACTAAATCTAAAGATATTAATAGTAATAATTAAAATATTAAATAATTATATAGAAATTTAGAATATTTGCAACAAAATATAAATAATAATTGTTTATAAATAGGTACTTTCAGAAGGTATTTATAGAACAATAAAAATAATTTTGCTGAATGAAGAATTTTATTGCATGATAATTACAAATCGGGAAATATGTCGATGAACGAAATTTCAATGATGTGTTGAATGCCTAAAGTTGTCATTGGTGTTGTTGTTGGTGTTTTATTTTCTTTTTTCTTTTTTTTTAATTTAAAGTGCAGGGTAAGCTAAATATGTCGAGTAGGGCGAGTATGCATATCCAAATTTCAGTGAATTGTGATTTTGAACGATGGACTGAGAACTGGTAGCAAGTGGTAGCGCTGCTGGGATGTAGGCTGTGTCATAAGCTGGCAAAGCCAGGATTGCAGGAGCTGGAGCTGGAGCTGCGAAAGCCACCGCCAACAGGGCCAAGAATGCGAACTGAAAAACATTTTTAAAATATTTATTGATTTTATAATAATAATAATAATAATAATAATAATAATTATTATTATTATAATTATTATTATTATCTCCTTACATAATAAAAAGTTTTCGCCTCTCACGTAACGGCCCCCCTGAAAAGGGCCCTTAAATTACGCCCCCCTCTCTTGTTAATATTCTAAACTTTATTTTACTTTCTAAACTTGGATAAGTAAAAATATTTACTAATTTAAATTAGTGACTGACTTTTTGCTTTTGAATTAGTAAATTTTACTAATAAATAGTAATTTCCACTAATTTATTAGTAAAATTTACTAATTCAAATTTAGAGAGTATTGTCATCAGTATTAATTGAATTTATCACTCAGTGATAATTTAATGGTATATAATTATTATTTTAATATTATGAAATAATAATAATATTACTACTATTATCATTATTAAATATAATTCCTACACCAATAATAATACACGAAAAAAAATCTTCATTTGTAAATTAAAATAAAAATCAAAAAATAAAATATTCTATTTTAATAAAATTTTAATTTAATTTTTTAATTTTTATTTTAAATTTTTATTCATTTTAGAATATTTTATTTTTTTATTTCTTTTTTTGATTTTTATTTTATTTTATTACCTTTGTTTTATTTCATTTCTTAAATTTTTATTTATAAATAAAAAATTGAAAAAGAAATAAAAAAAATATTGCAAATAAAAAAATAAATAAAAATATTTCACATAATTGTTTTATTCGCAATTCATTAAGTTGTTTCATTACAAAAATGTCATTATTTTCTCATAAGTCTACAAATATTTCTTTTAACGTCGCACTATATATTTGTATATATATATTTAAAAAGTACATCAAAAGAGTGCTTTAATTAAATTTGTTGAATATATAGGAGATTCAATGTTTTTGTCAAGGTTATATGCGGGCTTGCATTTAAAACTAAATTACCTTTTCATTATCGATTAGTTATAGGAAGATGCTTAATGTATTTTCTCATAGTTTTAATTACTCGCGATTGTGAATAGAGAAAAAAAAAATTATTATTAAAAAACTTTTTCACACAAACATAAAGAGAAGAGAAGTCTTTAAAATTTTTATTCATATTTTTGTTCAATTCAATTATAAGTAAACTTTACTCTTTTCATATATTCGGATATGTTCTAATAAAAGAATGAATTTAATTCATTTCCATATTAAAATATCGACGAGAGACAAATTTCATTTTATTATATCGAGTATTACTATACTCGATAAAATAAATTGTAAATGGCACGGTCTTTAAAATTATTAATAGTTGTATTAAAATTAAAAGGTTAATACTAATAATATTTTTCAATTATTGTAAAATTAAAAAAATAGTAATATATTTATCATAATATTGAAAAATTAAAAAAATAATAATATTTATCGTAATATTGAAAAAATATTTTTAAAAATATAAATTAAGGCAAATTAAACGAAAAAATATAAATTATTATTATTATTATTACTATTATTAACTAATATTAATCATAACTTTTTGTCATCGATTTAGATTCACGAACAAAAAATTTTTTTTAATTAAAAAAATAATTAAAATTAAAAAATAATAATATTTAGGTATCAAGTAATGAAAAAATAATAAAAAAATTATTATAATTATTATTATTATTATCTAATATTATTCATAATATTGTGTCATCGAACAAAAAATTTTTTTTTAATTAAAAAAATAATGACAATTATAAAAATTAAAAAAATAATAATATGTATGTATCAAGTATTGAAAAAATAATAAAAAAATTATTATCATTATTATTATCTGATATTAATCATAATTTTTTGTCATCGATTTAGATTCACGAACAAAAAAAAAATTTTTTTTTTAAATGTTATTATTATTGCTGTTAAAATTAATGAAGTTAAAATAAATTACTATGTTATTAGTATTATTTTTTTGCTTTCGATTTGAATTCACGAAAAAAAAAATTAAACAGAAATATTATTGTTATTATTTAGTACTACTAATAATCATAATTTTTTGTCGTCGAGTCGGATTAACGAGAAAAAAATTTAACAAAATTATTATTGTCAATATTTTTTATATTAACGAGAGAATATAAATCACTATTGTTGTTATCAATATCACACTTTTCACGTAATAAATAATTTTTTTTTTTTTTTTTTTGAGGCAAAATTCACCGAAGTAAATGAAAAGCTTACCAATTTGAACATGTTGAAATAGAGTTTTATAAGATTGTTCCTCAAGCAAAGGACAAACAGACTATGCAGAGAATTCTTTGGTTTTAAACTATTTATACTCAACATAAGCAACCCTTTCAGGGTCATCAAGAGTTTTCTTTTTACATCTGTACCTTCCTCACCACGCCTCTTTGTGTCTGGTCAGGATTTGATAGTGGTAACCGCAACCAACTATCCCTCCATCTGAGGTCAATGCTCATCAGTCTCAGAGTGTGGTAGCCAGTTCAGTGGCACTTTGAGAAATTTATTTTTCTTTATCGCTCATATTTTTCTAATTTTCAATTATTATTCATTTCTCTACTCAACAATAGAAAATAAGTATTTATACTTTTTTCTCTAGGAAAATTTTGCTTTCGACTAAAAAAAGTAAAAATAAAAATTCCAAGCAAAAATTCTTCTAAAGTTTTCTAAAAACTCTAACAAGAAATAATTCTGTAACAATAAGAAACAAAATTTAGTTCTAAATTAACTATTAAAAAAAATAAATAAATAAATAAATAAATAAATAAAAGAAAATAACTATTGAATTGCGTTACGAAGAAAATAAAATAAAGAGGACGTTAAGTTTTTTCTTTCCCATTTCTTTTTTTCCTTTCTTCTTTCTTTTTTCTATAAAAAAATACTGTAACAACAAGAAACGAAATTTAGTTCTAAATTAACTATATTAATACTTTAATGCAGTTTTTAAAATACTTTTAATTATTATTTTTATTAACCATTAACATTTTTCTTTAGGCGAATTTTATTTTCCAACTGAAAAAAATATTAACTAACTTTTAAAAAATATTTTCTAATCTTTTCTATGAATTTTATTAATCACTAATTTTTTTTTCTCTTTGCGAATTTTATTTTCCACTGAAAAAAAAAATTTTTTTTGAAAATAAGAGAGGAGTCGGTGCGACAAAAAATATTATTAACAAATCAGTGACACGAGTGAGAGATAGAGTAAGAGAAAAAAAGACAGAGAGAGATAATCCTAATATTTAAAATAGAAAAAAAGCGAGGCAATATTTCAACACACGAGTTTCGTATGATATAATAATCAACTTACCCACAACTTATATAATTCGATAAGCAACTAGTATTACATATTGTGGAATTAATCGAAAATCAAATGAAACATATATCCCTAGATAATGAATGTGGATGTTACTCCGGAAGTGATTTAATTTTAGATCAATATTCTATTTTCCATTTTTTTTTATCGAATTTTCTTGCAAACAAATCAGGAAAAAAATACAATAATTATCTGGTTAAATTTTATGCTTGAATATTTCCCCCCTCCTTCCAAAAAAAAGATGGTTAGAAAAAATATTTTTAATTATTAATTTTAATTTGTATTTCTAATTAAAATAAAAATGAAATTGAAATTAAAATCTGTATAAAAATAGTATTGGAATTTTTCTTAAAATTGTTACATATATGATGAAACTTACGTAAGTAGTTACAGAAAGAAAGTGGTAAATAGAATTTCTTACAACAATGTTGCGCTTCTTGCATAATATGTATGTACGTGACCGACTCACTCAGATCAAGTTCAATATCGCAATCTATTTCTACGATTTGTTCTCCGATCGTGTAAATATACTATTCTCGTCATTGCCACAACAATTCAAGATAAAAATAATAATAATATAAATATTAAATAAATTTAGTTAAATTAATTTCATTAAATGAAATGAAATTAAATTAATGAAATGAAATTAATGAAATTAATAAAAAATTATATTAAAAATTAAATTAAATTAAAATAAATATTATAAAATATAACATAGAAAAAATTGTAAACGTTTCAATAAAATATTATAAAATATAATTTATTTACATATTTAAAATATACTGGCAAATTAATTATTATTAATATTCCCCCATCTCCATTATTCTTAGAAATAATGGACTGAAATAAAAATTATTTCTAAATAATTAAACATTTCTAATTGTAAATTTTTGATTAAATGATTACTAGCAACAATTCGCGCGCTAAAGCGCGCGACTAACTTCTTACTTACTTTTTTTTTAAATAAAATTAGCAATTTTAAAAATAATAGAATTTAAAAATATTTGATTTAAATTTCTTTTCATAAAAATAATATATGAATTGGAATATAGTTTTTTTTATACTATTATAACTATAATAATGATAATAATAATATATTCTAAGACAGGGAATTCAGGGAAAAGTCAGGGATTTTTTTTAAAAGTACTGTAAAAAATTAAATGTTTAGAATTTATAAGAAAGCTCTGAATTTTTTTCTCTTTTTGTTTGCCTCATAAACTGTAAAATTATTACGAATTTCAAAAAAACCCTCAATTTTTTCTATTTCTGAAAATAATTTCTTTTTAAATAACTTCATTCTTGAACAACTAACATTTCTTAAAAAATAAAATAAAAGTTTTAAGAAAATTAAAAAACTTTTAATTTTACTTAAATATTTAAAAATTAATTAAATTTTAAAAGAGTTGCGTTTACAATTTTTTCATAAAATACTTCACAAGGTTTTAATTATTTTGAAATTGTATAAAATTTCAATTTTTAATGAATTTAATTAGATTAGAATTTACTTTTTGAAAAAATCAAAATCTCTATAACAATCGTGATTCAAAAACATAAGTTCTCCAAGGTTTTCACTCCTTTTTAGAAAAATACTTAAGATTTTCTTGAAAAATGTAATTAATTCTTATAAAATTCAACTATGTTCAAAATTTGAAAAAAATTCTCCTAAAAATCCCAATTATCTTTATAAGTAACAAAATTCTTCTCCAAAGTTCAATTATTTTCATAAATGTTAAAAAAATTCTTTAAAAATACATTTATTTAATTATTTAATACAGTAAATGGACTTACGTCCTATTATAAAAAAAAATATTAACTTTTCATAAAACATGTATTTGAACATAAATTTTTGTTTTCAAAACTTTGAAAAAATTCAAAGCTCCGGATAGCAGGAAAAATAAAAAAGAATTATGATAATTATGAAGAATATTTGTAAATTCGGTGTGTAGAGAAATTAATTGTGATTCACCGTAAATAGAAATTGTTTCATAACTATTGTATTGTGAATGTATATTGTCCACAAGTATTACATTTTAATTTAAGCATTTCACAATTTTAAGCGGTCAATGCACGACTCAGTTACAGTATAAAAAAGAGACTTTGCACGATTATTGTCACTCGTCTTCAAACGTTCAATAAGTGAAATAAGAAAAATACAAAAAAAAAATCCTCTCAGCACTATGTTGACATTCACAGTAAGTAATAGTTATTCTTATGCTCAAAATTTTAACATTTTTTTCACTTATTAATATCAATCATAAATACATAGATAATTTATAAGGGCCGAAGCAGTTCCTAACGGCCCCACTATTGGGGACGTTATATTGCGTCATAGCAACCGTTGCTATGGGAATTGTTTCCATAGCAACCGTTACTATGGGAATAGTTACCATAGCAACCGTTGCTATGGGAATTGTTTCCATAGCAACCGTTACTATGGGAATTGTTTCTATAGCAACCGTTACCATGGTAATTGTTTCCATAGCAACCGTTACTATGGGAATTGCTTCTATAGCAACCGTTACCGTAGTAATTGTTTCCATAGCAACCGTTGCTATGGTAATGGCTACCATAGTGTTACTAACATTAATATTAATAAATATTATTAAGATAATATTATTAAGATAAAAAAATAATAATTCACTAATGTTTCAGGCAATTCTGTCCCTGATCGCAGTGGCGTCAGCAAGCATCTTACCGGGAGCGCCTCTAGTTGCTGCGCCTGCAGTTGCACCGTACGCTGTTGCGCCTGCAGTTGCTCCAATTGTCACGGCAAGAAGCAGTCAATTGGTGGCGAGAAACTACAACACTTTTGCCGCTGCCGCACCATATGTTGTAGCTCCAGCAGCTGGTGCAGCTTTTACAGCCCCCGGAGCTTACGTTTCGTCGCCAATCGTGGCGCCTGGAGCTTATGCCGCTCCTGGCGCCTATGCTGCTCCTGCAGCATACCTATCGCCTGCAGTTGCACCCTACACTGCACCCATTATCGGCGCTCCTCTACCAGCGGCGCCAGCTTCATATTTCTTCCGAAGATGAAAATAATTCACGGAAAGAAAATTTTTTTTTCTGATACATTGTAAATAATGTTAAAAAAAAAGTTTCATTTACAAAATGAATGCTTGTTATATAAACGATATTTTTAAATATATACGAAATTGTTTACTCTATAATAAGGATTTTTAATTTCTTCACCTTGTTAACTAGCAACAATTCGCGCGCGGATAACTTTTTACTACCTTTTCTTTAAATAAAATTAGCAATATTAAGAATAGTAGAATTTAAAAATTTTCTAATTTAAATTTTTGTAGAAAACACTAAAAAATTCAATTTTTTTTCAATTTTTCATTAATAATTGCAAAAATTCAATTATTTAAAAAAAAATAATAAAATTCTTATTAAATTCAACTATGTTCAAAATTTGAAAAAAAATTTGCGTAAAAATCCCAATTATCTTTATAAATAACAAAATTCTTCTCCAAAGTTCAATTATTTTCAGAAATTTTTCTAATTTTAATGATTTTCAATATCTACGATTTTTATGAAATTTCCCAAAACGAATTCAATTATTTAAAAAATATTTTAATTTGAAACTTTAGAAAATTACAATTTTAAATGAATGAATTAAATAATAAAAATTTCACAGGAATTCTATAATTTACAAATTTTTTTATAAATTTCTTCGCAATAATTCAATTATTTTTATGAAGAATAACATTTTTTTTTTACCAGGAATTCAATTATTTTCATAAATAATAAAAATCATCGCAGAATTTCAATTATTTTTAGTACAATTTTAATGGAATTTCTAGAAAAATGTAATTATTCTTAAAATTTTTATTAAAATTCATTTTTAAAATTTTTAATAAAATTCTTCATAGAACTAAATTAATTTCAATAATTTATCAAAATTCAATTATTTTTAATATCGTCTTCAAAAGAATTTAATTAAGATTATGTAAAATTTTAATAAAATTCTTCCTAAATTCAATTATTTTCATAAATAATATAATTTTCATAAAATTTTTCAAAAAAAAATAAATTATTTAAAATAATTTTTATAAAATTCTTCCTTGGAATTCAATTATTTAACAAAAAAAAATTAATAAAAGTTCTTCGTAAGAATTCAATTATTTTTGAAAATTTTAATAAAATTCGTTGCAAAAATTCAATTATTTAAAAATTTTTTTATAAAATTCTTCGAATCAATTAAATAATTTTTAAAAATTTTGATAAAATTCTCGGCAAAAATTTAAATTATTTTCAAAAATTTTCCTCAATTCAATGATTTTCATAATCTACTAAAATTTTTCAAAAGAATTCATGTATAAAAATTTTAATGAAATTCTTGCGCAAACATTTAATTATATTCATAAAATAATTAAAATTTCACAAGGAATTCAATTATTTTCATAAATAATAAATTTTTTTTAAGGAATTCAATTATTATTTTCATTAAAAATAATTTAAAATTCTAGAAAATAATAATTAGTAAATTTCACTAAAATAAATTAGTAGAAATTACTATTTATTTAGGAAACTTTACTAATTCAAGAGCAAAAAGTCAGTCACTAATTCACAGTAAACATTTTTTACTTCTTTAGATTTAGAAAGTGGATTTCAAAATCCATCAATTTTGAAGAAAAATAAAAATTCAAAATGAATCAAAATATTTTCTGACCGATTTCATTTTATGACCATTGAATTCCTTACAAAACTATAAATTTTAATTACAGTCGAACCTGTCGAAATGCAATACTATTTAAAAAATTTTTTTCTATTTAAAAATGTCCAACTAGAATTATTTTCACATAGTTCCAGAATATTGTAAAAATGTGACAAAATTAAATTATAAAAAAATTTCACTGTTAAAAATATTTTACTGATAGAAATCAGTGAAATTAGGAAAAATTAGTGAATCAGTCAATTATGTTATTAATCAGTAAATTTTAAACATGACTTTTCGCTAATGTAGATAAAATTTTAATAAATTAGTAGAACACAATTTAGAGAAAAATATCAGATAAACAAATTAAAATAGTAATTAATTAATTAAAAAATTCATTAGTTCTTAAATTAATTAATAATTTTTACTACTTAATTAATAAAAAATACTTCTTTTTAATAATTAATTTTCTTAAAAATTATTTTTCATTTTGTAATATTTGTTAATTAATTTTCTAATAATTTATATGCTTTACAGCAAAAAGTCAGATTTCGAGTAATTATAATAATTTTGTTTAAATATTGGTTTAATCTTAATTAAACTTTAAAAATTCATTAATTAAAAATAAAAATTTAGAATTAGAAATTTATAATCAGAAAGTTCAAAGTATGAAAGTTCGAAAATTTATATTTCTAAAAATGTAAAAAAAAATAATTAACAGAAAAACGGTTGTTACCCACAATTTTGATTTTTATGTTTCCAAACATTTATTTCTTATGAAATTCTTGCAAATAATGGAGTTAATTTAAAGTCAATTCACTGGAATTTATAGTCTTGACAAAGTATCAGAAATTTTTTTTTTAAATTGTAGATTGAAATTTTTTTTATTTCATGCAATTTTGAACAATTCTTATCACAAAATGAAGTAAATATAAAAAAATATTGTGTAAAATTTGAAGTTAATTATAAAAATTCAAAAGACGCTGCGTTTTATTTTAGAATTAAATTACTAATTAATAGCACAAGTGAAATAAGTGTTTTATTTATCACTTTTCCGATAATCGATCAAAAAACATAAACAAATTACAACAATGGAAGAAAATAAACGATTATTACTATATTTTTTGTTTAATTTTACCTTTTTTTTTAAATTTTCCTCTTAATTCTAGAATCTGATTTCTTTTTGATTTTGTTTTTAAATTTTGTATTAATAATTACTTTTTTTAAGTCGATTAATAATTGTCGTCAAATGAAGTTAATTTATCAATTTCTAAGGGAGTGAAATTTCAACTCCTTTGATTTATGCTGTTCAATTTAATTTTCCTTGAAGATTTCTCATTTTTCCTCTCCTCCATTTAATGAAAAATGAATTTTCCACTATTTCGTAGTAAAGATAAAAGAAATTAAAACATTATACTCACTTTTTTTACCTCCATTGAATTAAACAGACTTTTTTAATAAATACAATATTACAAGTTGATTTATAAATTAAAAAATTTGTTTTTTATTTCAAAATTAAAAAAAAAAATTCATATAGTGTCTGTTAAATTTACTGGAAGAGAATTTTTATCAACAAAATTTACTCCCGTATATTATATTAAAAAGTAAAATATTATTTTTAATTTTTATATTAATTTTAAATTATATTAAAATATATATCAAAATAATAATATGGGAGCGTTCACAAATGATGTCACGCAAATTTCTTGAGATTTTCAACCCCCCTCCCCTCCTCCATGTCACGCAATTTCATGCAATTTCACATATGAAAAATACATTGTGTCACGTTTCGTAGAGACCCCCCTCCCCTTGCTCCCAAAAACGTGACATCTATTTATTATTTATCAATAAATAATTTTCAAACCAAAAGCCACAAATATTATTTAAAAGCAAGAATTCCTATACGAAAAAGTCTACGATAAACAATAAATAATATTTTATAAAATATGAAATAAAAAAAAATATTAAACAAAATTAAATAATAAAACCCACGTCGAAAAATTCCATGGAAATTCCATGGAACTTCTCCATGGAATTTCGGTGGAGTCTCCATGGAAATGCTGCAAGTTTTTTAATTTAAAAATATTTTAACATTTCCAGGGTTGCCAAAGGTCAGGGAAAAGTCACGAATTTTTATTAAAGTACTGGAAAAAATTTAATTTAGAATCAGTTACGAATAATTGCGGAAATTCCATTATTTTCAAAAGTAATAAAATTTTGAAAAAGATTCATTTTTTCAATAAATTATTTATTTTTCCATTTAAATAATTGAATTTTCGTAGAATTTTTGAATAAAAATTGATTTAAAAATGAATTTCAGTTGAAAATTTACATGATAATTGAATATAAAAAGCATTATAGCATAAATTTTCGATAATAATTAAATTTGGAATATTTTTGAAAATAATTACATTTCTCGAAGAATTTACTTAAAATTTCATTAAAAATAATTGAAATCCCGTGAAGAATTTTATTACTTAGGAGAATAATTGAATTCTTGTAAAGAATTTTTATTATAATTTTTTTAAATAATTGAAGTTCTGTGAAGAATTTTATTATTTATGAGAATAGTTGAATTCTTGCAACGAATTTTTATTACATATTTTTTTAAAAAATTGAAATCATGAAAAGAATTGTATTATTTATGAAAATAATTGAATTCTCATAACGAATTTTATTACATTTTTTTAAATAATTGAATTCATGTGAAAAATTTTATTACTTGTATTAATTGAAATGTAAATGAAATTATAAATAGAAAATATAGAAATTAAAATATAATTAAAATTGAAAATTGAAAATTAAATATATAGGAATTAAAATATTAAAATGTATAATTGAATTTAAAATGTAATTGAAATTATAGATTCAAAATATGGAATTTAAAATTCGAAAATATTTAATTGAAATTAAAATACAATTAAAATTGTAAATTAACAATATATAGAGATTAGAATATAATTGAAATTAAAAATATAAAAACAAACTTATGAAGAAATTTAATTGAAATAAAATGTTATTGAAATTTTAAATTGAAAACATGGAAATTAAAATAGGAAATTATATAATTGAAATTATAATTAAAAGTATAGATATTTAAATGTATTTAAAATTTTAATTTTAATTACGACAATATGTAGATATAATTGAAATTAAAATTATCTAATTGAAATTATTAATCTAATGTACAGAAATTAAAATATAATTGAAATTAAAAATTGAAAATATAGAAACAAACTTACGACAAAATGGAATTGAAATTATAAATTGAAAATGTAGAAATTAAAGTAATATTGTGATTATAAATTGAAAATATGAAAATTAAATACGTAATTGAAATTTTAATTAGAATTACCAAAATATAAAAATTGAATACATAACTGAAAATATGGAAATTTAAATATAATTATTGAAATTTTAAGTTCAATCACGAAAAAATATATATAATTAAAATTAATATTCTATAATTTGAAATTACAATTGAGAAAATAGAAATTAAAATATAATTGAAATTTTAAGTTCAATTACGAAAATATTTATAATTGAAATTAATATTCTACTAATTGTATTAATTCTAAAATTGTATTAAAAACAATTGAAATCCTGTGAAGAATTTTTTTACTTTTAGGAGAATAATTGAATTCTTGTAAAAAATTTTTATTATATTTTTTTTAAATAATTGAAGTCCTGTGAAGAATTTTATTATTTATGCAAATAGTTGAATTCTTTCAACGAATGTTTATTACATTTTTTTTAAATAATTGAAATCCTGTAAAGAATTGTATTATTTATGAAAATAATTAAATTCTTGGAATGCATTTTATTACATTTTTTTTTTTTAAATATTTGAATTCTTTTAGGAAATTTTATTAAAATAGCAGATTTTCAAAATATTTGAATTTCAGCTATGAGTTGTTAAATTTCATAAAGATTTGTATTTGAAATTTTTGGAAAATCTTAATTTCTATGGAATAATAATAATGATTAAATATTTATTTAAAAAAGAATTTTTGATGTTTTCGAATAATTTTTCATTTAAAAAAATTCGTAATTAAATGTAATAGAAGAGTTTTTTGAGTATCTAATAATTTTTAGAGGGAATCAGAATATTCTTTACGGTCAGAGGGAAAAAGTGAAAATTTTTTTCTGGAAATCAGGGAAATTCTTTAAGTTTTTTATTTTAATAATATTTTAACATTTCTATTATGTTTAGAGTCTAATAATAATCTTTGTTGGAATTTTTTTTGCAAAATTCGTATTTCATTCAAAGTTTTGCAAATAAATTGCAACAAAGCTTATTATTAGACTCTATAATCATAATAGAAATGTTAAAATAATATTAAAATATAAAACTTGAAGAATTTCAACGGAATCTCCAAGGAAATTCCATGTAATTTCCAGGGTCTTCTTCCATTGAATTTTTCGACGTGGGAAATAAAAAAATAAATTCTTAAAAAAATGTAAAATAATTAATAAATATTTATGTCATTTTACTTTATTTGCAATTAATGAGGACACGAGATGTGACATTATTCGACATTGACAATACACTAAAAATATTCAATACTTTGTTCTTTATATAATTTCGTGAATTGTGGTGCAAAGCACGTTTGACAAAGAAAGTATATTGGGTCATAGTTAGGAGCTATAAAAACCAAGCTCAACCGAGTATTCTATCGTCTTCCTTGCAAGGATTCCGAGAAAAATGGATTCACTTTTATTGGTATGTGTTCAAAACCCACTTTATTTCATATATATTGTATTTAGAAAAAAAATTTCTTCGCTTTATTTACGTATTCAAAAAAAGAACTAATATAGGTTTATTTATAAAAACGGAAACATTAACAATATTTCTATTTTGAAACGCATTTAAAGGTCTTTCGTTTTTTTTAACGAAGTGAATACAAAATTTACATTCGCGAAGATGGATGATTATTTATATCAATAAATTACACAATTTAATCTTATAATACGCAATAAATCCCATCTCTTTTGTTTATTGGAAAAAAAATTATTTTTTATATTATTGAGTAGGAAAAAAATCAATTCTATAGCTTCTTTGAAAATTCTAATATACAATCAACAGCAAAGTCTGTACTTGAGGTATATCAACTTGAGACAAAGGAAATAATTAATTAATTAGTCAGTTTCCTTGAAGGGACAAAGAAATTTATTTGTGAATTATACCCTCTTTTTGTTTGAATTTCTAATAATTTTTCTTTTTTTAATGTTTTCAGATATTTTTTGGAATTGTTTCGGCAATTTTCATCGACTGCACCACAGCGGGAGTGATTCCTTCCGCAGTTGCCCTACCATCTCCGATTGGAATTGAATATGCAAAAGCAGTGCCCTACAATGCACCGCCTCACGTTTCTAGAATTGACTTGAATAGTAAAATTCTTTCTGCGCCATGGTTCACAGCCACTGCAGGTTCTCTCTTCAATGCACCTCCATTCGCAGTCACTGCACCTGTTTCTGCTTCGCAAATTATTGCTGCTCCTGTTCATCCAGCACCAGTTACGGCAGCGTATCCTGCACTTGCAACACCACCAATTGTCTCTGGACCACTTCTCGATTCACCATCTTACCTTCCCACTTTTACATACCCCACAACATTCCCAGCCTACGATCATACCATTTTTGGTTGATATTTTTTTTTTCGTTTTACTTTTATATTCTATTTTTTTTAAGTTTATTTACATGTGAATGCTGTGTAGCAAATATCTTGCCAAAGGAAGATTTTGTAGAAAAATAAATTGTTTTTTTGTGCAAAAAGAGAAAATTTGTTATTATTATTTCCGCTTTATATTGCTCGAGGTGGTAGCTCTTCTTCAGGAGAATAAGAGTTTTCTTTCGAAAACACACGCCTTTTGTTAATATAATTATTTAGAAACAAAAAATAGAATATCATCACAATATTGATATCAAAACAAAAAATAGCAACAATAAAAAAATCTGGTGTCAAGTTTTATCACTAATGATTTGCTAACAATTGATTTTTGTTTCACTGGTATTAAAACAAAAAAGATTGCTTTCTTCCTCTGTCCAAAATAAATAACATAAGATATAAGAATGTCTTCCTTTACCCAATTTGCATATCTAATTTGGGATGAGGATAAGACAATGAGCCTAGTAAATGTTGTCAGAGAATATTTTATTTAAAAATCCAACAAAGAAAGAAAAATTTGACAATTAAACAATAAGTATTATTTAAAATTAAAAATCTTTCTTTGAAAGAATAATCTTTAGCATTGATGTTGGAACTGGTAGTGGCAGGGCTCGAACCAGTGAAAGTATTTAAAATGATTTAAAAATACGGACATTAAGGACCAAAAATGAAAAATTACGGATCAATTACTGACAAAAAAATAACCAGTCCGAGTCAAATAAAAGAAAACTTTACTTAAAACTAAAAATTAAATTTTTTCATAACAATAAAACATGAAAATATCGATAACTCTGAGTCTTTGACTCGAAGTCATCGATTTCTTCATGTTTTATAATAATTAAAGATGACCGAATGATAAAATCATTATTTTATATTATAAAAATATTGTTACTATAACTTCTTCAAAATTGTTTTCATCATTTCAATTCAATTATTATTTTCAAGAATTTCCAACTAAAATTCTTCTTTAAATCAATTATTTTTAGTAATTTTCGAAAAAGTTCTTTGATAATTTTCAAAACCATCTGTTTACAATATTCAATTTTACCAAAAATTTCGATTATTAGGAAATTCTTCAATTATGAAGATTTTGAAGATTTTTGCATATTAGAAAATAAAAACTTCAAATAATATTAAAAAAAAATCCAATTAAACTTTTTTAAAAAAATTAATTTCAAAATTCAATTATTTCTAAAAATTCAAGTTATATTGCTTTTAATATTCAATTATTATCTAAAATTTTAGATCAAATTCATTTTTATAAAATGAAAATAAATTTTTATTAGAAAATTCTATTAGAATTGAATTATTTAAATACAAAAATAATTTATTGAATAATTGAATGTTTCTTAAAATTCGATTCTCAAAAGAATTTTATCAACAAATTTTTAAATAATTAAATTCTTTCGACGAATTTTAATAAAATTTTTAAGAATAAATTATACATTTTTGGAGAAATTCGATTAAAATTGTATTAAAAATAATTGAAATTCTGCGATAAATTTTATTATTTCTGAAAATAATTGAATACCTAAGAAGAATTTTATTATTTTTGAACATACAATTAAATTGCTGCGAAGAATTTTATTGCTCTTGAAAATAAATGATTTTCTGCAACAATTTGTAACTTCTCTAAAATTCAATTTTTTTAAAGTGTTTTTAAATAAAATTCTCCTTTAAATAAATTATTTTTAATCATTTTCGAAAAAGTTCTTTGAGAATTTTCAAATTTTTTTGTTTACAATTCAATTTTAAAAATTTTTTATTCTTCGGAAATTCTTCAATTAAATATATTTTAGTAAATAAAAACTTCAAAAAAAATAATTTCAAATAAAATTCAAACAAACTTTTTCAAAAAAACTAATTCTTCTACAGAATTTGTTAGATAAAAGTATGAAAAATTAAAATTTTCAAAGATTTTAATTTGAAACCTTTTCAAAATTCAATTATTTTTAAAAATTCACGTTGTAATACTTTTAATATTCAATTTTAATCTATAAAATTTTAATTGAAATTCATTTTTAAATAAATTTTGATTAGAAAATTCTATTAGAATTGAATTACTTAAATACGAAAAAATAATTTATTGAATATTTGAATGTTTCTTAAACTTTAATTCTCATAAAGAATTTTATCAACAAATTTTTAAATAATTGCATTCTTTTGACTAATTTTAATAACATTTTTAAGAATAATTACATTTTTAGGGAAATTTGATTAAAATTGTATTAAAAATAATTGGTTTCCTAAAAAGAATTTTATTATTTACGAAAATAATTGAATCCCTGTAAAAATTTTATTATTTATGATTATGAAAATAATTGAATTATTGCAAAGAAATTTATAAAAAATTTGTATAAATAATTGAATTCGTGGGAAATTTTTATACTACTTTATGAAAAAAATTAAATGTTTACGTAGAATTTAATTCAAATAATTTGTAAATAATCGAATTCTTTTGAAAAATATTATTATATGTGACGCTCCACGAGAAAAAAGACCTTATGACAAGAGTAAATAAGGTCCCTTTTCTCGTGGAGCGTCACATATAATACTTGATAATGAAAATCATTGAATTGAGGAAAATGATTGAAAATAATTGAAATTTCGCCAAAAATTTTTGAAAATAATTGAATTCTTTTGGAAAATTTTATTAAAATAGTTGATATGGAAAAACATTGAAATGAGGAAAATTTTTGAAAATAATTGAATTCTCTTGAAAAATTTTATTAGAATCGTTGACATTGAAAATCATTAAATTGAGAAAAATTTTTGATAATTTTTTGAAAATAATTAAAATTTTACCAAGAATTTTATTAAAATTTTTGAAAATAATTGAATTTTTTTGGAAAATTTTATTAAAATAGTTGATATGGAAAAACATTGAAATGAGGAAAATTTTTGAAAATAAGTGAATTCTTTTGGAAAATTTTATTAAAATAGTTGACATTGAAAATCTTTGAATTGAGAAAAATTTTTGATAATTTTTTGAAAATAATTGAAATTTTAAAAAGAATTTTATTAAAATTTTTGAAAATAATTCAATTCTTTTGGAAAATTTTATTAAAATAGTTGATATTGAAAATCATTGAATTGAGGAAAATGATTGAAAATAATTGAAATTTCGCCAAAAATTTTTGAAAATAATTGAATTCTTTTGGAAAATTTTATTAAAATAGTTGATATGGAAAAACATTGAAATGAGGAAAAGTTTTGAAAATAATTGAATTCTTTTGGCAAATTTTATTAAAATAGTTGATATGGAAAAACATTGAAATGAGGAAAATTTTTGAAAATAATTGAATTCTCTTGAAAAATTTTATTAGAATCGTTGACATTGAAAATCATTGAATTGAGGAAAATGATTGAAAATAATTGAAATTTTGCCAAAAATTTTTGAAAATAATTGAATTCTCTTAGAAAATTTTATTAAAATAGTTGATATGGAAAAACATTGAAATGAGGAAAATTTTTGAAAATAATTGAATTCTTTTGGAAAATTTTATTAAAATAGTTGATATTGAAAATCATTGAATTGAGGAAAATGATTGAAAATAATTGAAATTTTGCCAAAAATTATTGAAAATAATTGAATTCTCTTGGAAAATTTTATTAAAATAATTGAAATTGAAAATCATTGAATTAAGGAAAATTTTTGAAAATAATTAAATTCTTTAAAAAAATTTTATTAAAATAGTTGACATTGAAAATCATTGAATTGAGGAAAATTTTGTAAAATAATTAAATCAAATGATACTAGACGATGTATCAAGAAGAAGTTACAGACGTAACATTAAATAGAATATTTATTTTCTCTACGATATTGAAGACTTACGAGACTCGATCGTAACACAAACCTTTTGGTTCGTATATGTAGATAAAGAAAAAAAGAAACACATTTTTTGTAAGGATGCCGAGACAAAAACCGTTTGGTTTGTAATTTTTAGAGCTAAAGAGGGACCTAAAAATAAATCCATTTACCCCAGTGAGCGTCACATACATTTTAATTCAATTTAAATTCCAATATGCAGAGAGAAGAATGGATAATTTTGCACCGCGGCGCTTCGGCTGATTGATGGCAATTTTGTAAAATGAGCCGCATACCATCACCTTATGGGAGCATAATTCTCCTTTGTTCTTTAAGATCTGTGCCGAGGAGCGTTATAACCCTTTCTGCTTGCGAGAGAAATAAAGCTTTCCATGTAGCATAAAGAAATAAGGGTATAATGTAACAAGAGAATAAGCAGGTAAGATCCGCCGCTCGCGTCGCCGCAAGATTACTGTTTTTTTTAAAATTTTTTTCCTCCTCCTCCTTCTTCTTCTTCTTTCCTCATCATTTTTCCTCTTTTTGTTTCCTTTTTTTTGGCACTCGTTCACCCAACATGTGATCTGTCCCGTGAAACATGCAGGCCTATGCGTCTTTTTTGATCACCATTCCAGGATGTACTTCAAGGTTGTGAATCTCGTTTCAGTACTTACGTGTGTTAAGAAGGTTGAACTGGTTCGAATTCCTCGCTTCAGTTACATGTATACGTTGTACTCTTGGCTAAAAGCAAGTCGGTCTAGTTATTGAAACCACTTTGTTTCTTCAAAAAATTATTTTTTATAGACAACAATTCTTGTTTGTTTGTTTTTTTGTTCTTTTTCCTGCCTCTCTCTCTCTCTCTCTCTCTCTCTCTCTCTCTCTCTCTCTCTCTCTCTCTCTCTCTCTCGAAGTGAGCTAATTAGAGGCTCCATTTATCACTTGTATATGTATACAAAGAAGAATTTATGCACAATTTTTCCTATCTCTTTATATATATCGTTATTGAATGGGGAATATTGACAAAATGTTGATAAAGAGCTGCGCGAGAGGAGAAAGGAATTTTATGGACTAATTAAATTAGAAAAGCAGGAGTTTTGAGAAAAATCTCTGGAGCAGGTTTCCCTCTGGGCACGGAAATGTCTTTGTTCCAGAAACGTTCCTAAAACGTTTTTAGAGCGTTTCATGTCTTCCACATAACGTCTCAAAAACGTTTTATGTTATGCTACTATTTGGGTACTTTTTTTTTAGATTTCAGCCACTAAAAGCTACTATTTCTGTTTTTTATTGAGACTTTCCACTACTTT